GAGAGACACCTAACATGTAGTAATTAGCACTGAGGGAAAAAGACACACAGAAAGTAGATCTTAACAGGACTGGGTTACAATTTTCTCAGAAACAGCTGGGTTTCTAAATAATTTCCTTTATAAACAAGCATATTTACCTTTTGGTTTAAGCTAAGCAGAAATAAATGGTCATTGGAGTATACTATCTATCAACTGGCAGACAAATTAGATATCTTTTAAACATTTCGGGCCCCTTCTTCTGTGCCACTTCCATTCCCCCTAACAAAGATGTACAGATTGTCCTTCACATCAGACCATAACAAGCAGATCATACAAAAACACATGGGATGTTCCAGACCTGGTCGTGAGGTCCTGTATCTCTATATATCATTTTAACATATTGTCATCTGTGTATATTGCACACTGAGACACTATATGCAGTGTGTGTGAGAAATGGTCTGAGCTGCACACCAGACACATATCCATTCTGGGGATGTTCAGACCCGAACTTGGCAGTTCAACATCACAAATGTATTACATAGATATGTACACTCTTCTTGAACTTGACCTCCAGAAGGCAGCTCATCCCTACAACTCTGAACTCCTTTCACGTTACTCTACCATCATCCTCTCTGCTCTACCAAGGACACTGATTCATCTCTGCCTCTCAAAAATCAGCTCTGTGACTTCCATGCCATCCCTTATGCTTGAGGTGCTCTTGTAAAACCTGTTTGCTGACCCACCTCCCTTGCCACAGTCAACCACTCTTTAAACTCACTGCTGTCCTGAAGCCCATGAGGAGTGACTGAGGTGGGCAAAACAGAGCAGAAAAAAAATGAATGCTACCACTACAATGTATACATGCCTCACTGAACTGAGTACCTATGTGTTCTTAATGTCACCAGGGTTCTCTCACTCCCTACCTCATTTGGCATGTTATTTTGGTTTCAGATTGTAAACTCCTCTGGGCAGGGGCCATGCCGGTACTTGTTTCTGTGCGGTGCCTAGCATATTTTTGGGTGGTAGAAAAATATTATATTTATATATTTAATATTGTATACAACATATTTTACACAAACACACAACAGATAGATTACATAGACAGCAATTTATAGTAGTTAGCTTTCTTTTCACTAAACCTGTGACAGATTCTACAGTTTGTTTTGGATTCTCCTTACTTCTCTAGATGCCACTAACACACACACACACGCGTGCACACCACAGATAAAGAAGCAAACTAACCTCTTGTATGCTCCCTCTATGAAGAGCCTACATACATAGCAAACTAACTGCTCATTAGGAATAAATTCAATCAAATTTTGACTTTTAAAACAGCATTAACTTTTTGTTTTGTTTGTAAACTAAAAGCCACTAGCTGAAAACCATTTCTCTGGTGTCATTTTAAATACTTCCTAAACTGGATAACTGGTAAGGCATTAGGATGTACAAAGAAAAGTCTAGAAAATGAAATAAAGGGGTATTGAAATGCTGAATGTGTTATACTTCCGCCTACTTCTACACATAGGGTAGGGTTTCTGAACACCATTGACTTATCTTCACATATGTTGTGGAGCATGTATACATCTAATACCTTTAGGGACCAAGAACACCCTAAAGCTCAGCAAAAGGAAAAAGGGAATGCAGTGAAGGGTGTGGGGGTCGAGGGGTGGAATCAAGGGAAAGAAAGAGACAATGAGGAAACTTCGGGTAATCCACAATCACTGCCAAATACAAAAAAACTCCCATTGGTCTGAGGACTTAAGCTATTAGTTAATACAAAGTCTAATTATTTTTGCAGTTTGGTATTTTTATTAAACTTCCACTGAAATATGAAACTTTGAGCTAATAGAACACATGTGTAGGTAGAGAGTTCTTTCTGGCATGATTTCATTGGTTCCATGGACAGCCATGCCAGAAAAGCAAGAGCCAAATTCAATGCAACGACCAAGACAGAAAATTCAACAGGAAAAAACAAAAACAAAAAATTAAACAAAACAAAAAAGAAAAAACAGCTGGCAACATTACGCAGAAAGATCTAGTACTGCCAGCTTCTCCAATGTTTGAAATATAGCTATCAGTTTGGAAAAGTTTCACAGATAAAATTTAATGGTAGATTTAAACTATGTTTTGTTTTAGTAAATATGGAGCTAGCACAATCCTATTCTTTGTACCCTGGACTAATTGCTGTAAAAGCCCTTTCCTGAGGATCAGGGTGACAATTTAGATCAGGAAAGCTGTAGTACAAAACGGTATCTGAACGGTGATAGCCCACTGAAGGTCTGCCTGCATCTTTGTGCTAATGACGTGTACATTAATAGGTGGAATCTGGAAGCCTGGGATTGGTGCTCCAATGGGATTGTTGGCAGCAAAACAAAAGATCTAATAAAATCTTGGTTTGCAAGAATATTCAATACCTGCCTGAAAGCCATCAAAGTGACAAATTATTCACTTCCCTCATTACTGATGTCCTTCAGTTCCCCTGGTAAGGTGCATTAAAAGATCAAAAACAAAAAGGGGAAAATAAATTCACTTTTCTAAGTGGTGCTGGACAGTTGGGTGAATACAGCAGACAATATTCTGAGAAGCACTCCAGCAGAAGAGACCACACACTACTACTTCTCCCGTTTGATGTTGGGCTGTATTGTACATATTCAACCTTCAGATAATATACTACGTTTGGGGAAAGGACTGAGGAAATGTCAGGTACAGCCATTACACAGCACAGTGTACATCGACAATGCTACAAAAGGACCTTTCCCGAAGCTGCCATTCTTCCTTCCTGAAACAACAGAGCTCCAATCCTCACTGAGACCACTTGATGCTTCTACAATCTAAATAATAAAGCATTGATAATATGCACACAGTCAGGGGCACATAAATTTCATTAAGGATGGAGCTAGTATCACCCCAGCCATTGCATACTTGTTCACACTTCTAAGATTGCAGGAAAAAAGGAAGTAGCAAGTAGTATTCCCAAGAGTGCAAAAGTTATTGAATACTGGTGCCTAGGGGAAGGTACTTGCTTTGATACATATGCAAGCTGTCCTATGACAAAAGCCCCTGGTGATTCACATGGCATAGCAGTTAGTTTTGTGAATTCCATACAAGCAGCATGAAGAAAACAATAAAAAGACTACACTATTCGTTTTGCATCCTGTAACATACCGTGAAAATGAAGTTTGAAAAGTAGGGTCAATGATGTCTGCAATACTATCATTTGTGGTTCACAACTAAAACTAATAAGAAAACAGGGAAAAAATGTAGGCAGAAGTTTTACAACCAATTGTAGCCACAATCACTTCTGCAGGGTCAGAACTGTTCCTACCAACACAATGGTGTTCAACTCCAGTAACAGTGAAAAATCCACTAGTATACATGAACTGCTGATGTTAATTAAGCCAAAATTGATTCATCTGTATTTTTCTTCTCTTCTGTAATACAACCCTAATTCTGGAATATATATAACTTTTTCTTATTTATCCTTTCTAAGTTTCCACCAATTAGAAATCATCTATTAGATCTACAAAATTTCATGAACTCTTTCAAAAATAGTTCAGCCCTGAAAACTCATATTCACATCATAACTTCTTATTCCAGCATGGGAAACAGCCACACAGGATGTATGCTACTCTAATGGGCTCACTTAACCATCACCGCATAGGTACCATCAGCAAAATGTGATCATCCAAATCTTTTTGCTTGTAAATTGACACTGTTTTAATAATAAAAATATTTTAACTGACATGTATTGGATCTATTTGCAGAAGCAGGGATTCAGAACATTTACTATGGCATAAACTGTGCCCTATGTGGTATGAAATAACACCGCTAGGTTTGTAATATCAGAAAATTGCAAATAATCTGCACACCTTGTTAGTATCAAAGAGAAATAAAAGCTCCAGGGTTAAATATGCACTATTTCTTCCCATAAGACTTTACTTGGCATTTTGTTGCATGCAGAAGGGCCAATGAAGGATAAAGGAAGTAGTGAAATGCCAAAAAGAATGTTCCAACACGTGACTTCCATATTATCCTATTTCAGTGGCCTAACAATAGTACTACAACAAGACACTTTGGATTAAAATCCATACAATTAATTTTCTAAAGAGATTTTTTTTTTAACAGGTTAGGTTGTTTCAGCACACAAAAGGCCAGGAATGGCCAAAGATTGAGAGTTCCAATAGTTCCGCAGAGGTTCAGAGTCCAAGTGGCCTGTGTCTTGCCAAAGTTCATGCCCTGGTCCTAGATCTGAACACAGCTTGTATTATAAGATTCAGCATGAACAAAAACAGTTGTTCATTCAAGTGGCCTGGACAGAAAGCTTCCCTTACATGAGTACTTTTTACCGTGGGTATTTTAACCTAACATAATTTGGTAACGGATGTCCTGTGATCAGATGTTAGCAACTTCACTTCCACCTGATATGGAAATTATGTTAATTCAAACAATCTCGCAGAGTCATTGCTGCAGCTTGAGACTCAGTTTCATCCTGTTCCACATAGCATAAGTGCCTAATAAAGCTATCTTATCAAAAAGAACACAACCAGATGTGAAAGATCGCTCTCTCTCTCTCTCTCTAGACATTCCTACAATACAAAAATGTCTGCTTAAATTTTCTTATGTCTGCATAGCTTATGGTCCACATATGGCTACACTGACAGTCAATGACAAAAGCCTGAAAAGGAACATCCTGTGCACAAGATAATCAGTCTAGTTTAGCACAACAATGAAGAAGCCAAAGACAAGAAAATTATAAAACATACGGATGAAGTATATTATTGCATGAGTGATGAAATAATGCTGGTCAAATAGAAAACAATGTTTCATCATAAGTAGGCAAAATACCAACTGGTGGCTTAATATTTTTTTCTGTTTATGCCAGAAAGATTTAAATAGAAGACATTGCGCACATTTTGGTCATTAAAACACCTTTTGGTAATATGAAGTCAATCCATACGTAACGTTTAATTATGAAGACTGAACAGCAACACTACCTAAAACTGAGAAGGATCAGTTCCTACCTGCCCATCTTGACCGACATGAACCTGATGTATCTGCAGATTACCCTGTAAAATAAGAATAAGAAACAGAACTTGCGAATTAGTAATAAAGTAGCACTTCTCAAGGAGATGTGTATTTATTTGAGGAAATCTATTAGTTTAGGAAATTCTTCTGAAGGTCTATGTTTTTTGGCAGTAAAACACAAATACAATGCTCCTGCACTTTAACCACAGAGAACGGATGCCTGTACTATTTTACTGATTTTCTCATTTTAAAACAACAGTTCTTTGCGGGGAGGTGGAGGGGAAAGAGTGTTATAGTAAAATGATTAAGTAGCAATCTATTTATATGGCTTTTATGGAGGTAGATTTTCCCTTCTCATATTCCCTCATTTTTATAAAATTGCAAACATGCACAATTCAAAACATTTGTCATCCTAAAATTAGTAGAGTAATTTTTTAAATCTTTGGCTGAAATGTATGTGCCATTCCTAATGGATATAATGTCTGTTGTTACAAAGCTATCATTAGTGCTAACAGCCATTTCTTTTACTTTATTAAAACTCAACCCAAAATGTGAACAAAGAGTTCTATTATAGGAATTTCCTAGGCACGTATTACCAAAGATTCTGAATGCTGTAGACTATTTGCAAAAGACCTTTAGCTATGAAAATTGAAAAGGGAAGGAACTTCATTACACAAAGAAACCCGCAATTAAATTTCTTTAAAAGGTCCTTTAAAAATATGTTTAAGGAAAAAGAAACAAAAACAAACAAAACAAGAAAAAAACTCCCCAAAACACTTTATGCACAAGAGGTAAAATGGCAAATATCTGTGAGAAAAACATACCGATTTCTTTCATTTTCATCTTTTTTACACTCTATACTACTGCCAGCACAGTGGATAAAAATCAACAATTTTTTTATTTTGTTATTTAAATTATAAGAAGTTTTTCTCTTTAAAAATAAACCTGTTTAAAATAAAATCTGAATTTAATACAAAATATGTCAAGGCCTTCATTTATTATAATCTCTTAAAACATTTTAATAAAAAATAAATATGCTGAATCTATGAGCCAATATCAAAAACTTTGAATTAAAGACTGCTTTTCTATATAAAGAAAGAATCAGGAAGAAAACATTTAACTTTTGACACCAAGCTTTATGAATATGGCACAATCGGTCAGTCTAAGTAACTTAGGTGACTGTCTCATTTTCAAGAGAATTTAAGCTCCAGTCACTTTCACTAGGCATATTTGAAAATGTTCCCAGTCTGACCTGAAATAATCAGTTTAATTTACTGCCTACAGTTAATCCCTCTGTTTAGGAAATCATTTAGTTGTAAAGTGAAACACAGAAAGTTTATGTATCCAAAACATTTAAGGCTGTTTTGTTTAATAAAAGTAAACTTTGTTTTGTGTGTTTAATTAAATTATAGTTACCATCCTAATGCAGCTTGACACAAATCATGACAAGAAGTTAATTATCTAGTAAATAAGCAATATATCATTCACCATTTTCCAATATACTAAAATGTACAATTAATAGAAATCCAAAAATATTAAGCTATATAATTGCCTAAATAAACATAGTTATCGTGTACCCTGCTAGATAGCAAAAAAATGTAACAAATCTAGTGGAAAGGCTGTATTTAGTTGTAAATCAACATGCTTTAATGGTTATATCAACCAATTAGAATGCACCTTTCTTTAGAAAATAACTGAAGAACAAATGGAAAAGTTGATTAAAATCAATTATTTAAATCAAGGTTTTCCACTTGGTGAATTAAATCATCTTGATTTAAATCAATCCACCCGGACTAGCTGCAATTCCACTTTCTTTCAAAGGAGTGTATATTGGAATAAATTATAATCCAGATGTTTTCAGACCGCCTGGCTAAAACGTAAGCCTTCTTCCTGGAGTCTTTATATGCAGGCAACTCCCACTGAGGTCAATGGAGTTTAGTCTCTGAAGTGATTCCTCATGCCCACAGAAGACTCTTTCACAACAAATATCCACCTGACCACAGCTGGGTTCAGAGCCACAGAATTTGAAAATTCATTCTTGTTTCTCTTTACCCCATCCAGCCCCTGAAAGGAGAATTCTTTTCACTAAAACTCACTCCTATTTACTGTAATAATTTTAAGCTCAGAGCAGGGAATCAGAACATACCCTTCACCAAAGGACCCCAGTATACCATACTATTTCATGAATTCTAAAATACATAGGACAGATTGGCGCCAATGGGAGTTTTGCCTGTGTAATAATTTCAAGGCTGGGGCCATAACTCTGGAGAATCAGTTTTCTTTTCGCTGCACTATTTTTATGACAGGAGGTTGATAGAACTGTAATTGAGGCATGTAGTCACTGCCAGGCTTCTAGAAACTGCTTCATTCTCTAAATACTTTCACTAACAGGAATCTCAAAAATCCTCCTAGTAAGTTCTGCAGCTCAGTGAAAGACACCGTTAGGTATTTTGGACATATTCTGCAGGCTGCATTACTAAAATCCTTTATTGCTGAACTGCAGCGCTTGTTAAGCACAAAAGTTGTACTAGCTATAGTGGTACCCTGAAGGTACTGTACTTTGCCTCCCATGAAGCCCATTAAAAAGCACATCAGCTATAAGCCACAATTTGCTAATACAAAACACACATGGCATTCCTTGGTTGGCCAAATAAAGCTATAGACAGAGCAGGAGTGTGCTACATTTGCTGAGGTTGAGGCATCTTTCAATGTGGCTCTACCACATGCATTCAGTTCCACTTTCACCGGGTTCTTTCGCTTATTTCAGCATTGCTGAGAACAGTGGTTTAAGAAATGTAGCCCTAGTCTCTGACCAGTATCTACTCAGATGACATGTGGCATTTTGGCTCACCTCGCTGTCCTGTGTGATTTGGACCTGCTCCCCTTGAGGCACCTGGGCTATGTGGAGGTGACCCTGTGGGATCCGCAACAAAAGAAAACACCAAGAAGCATCAGAAGAAAATCAAAACTAGAGGAAGATGCTATTATCTCAGATTCATTATAGTTTTATGTATTTGGAGATGGAGGGAAAAAATTCACTGAAACTCACAAACGTATAAAAATTGCTTATAAAAATTAAGTGTATCCATATTTCTCCATTCTTTTATCAGAAGTTCAGATGGAACAGAACGCCTTGTGGGGAAAGCATTTAACCGTCCAATGATGGAGAGGACACAAATGGGAATAATGATTACATTTATAGAGTGCCTCTCTCCTCAAAAGATATCAGAGCAGTTTTCAATTTTAACTGATCCACAAACTATCGGACCAAACCTGTAAACAACTCAGAGAGACTACAGGATCAGAGCCTGAGATATATCAGTAAAATAGAAAAATATTTTATATATAATATATAATCTTTTATATATAATATTTATATAATATCAGTAAAATATAAAAATCTTCTGTCACAGATGAAATGCAGCCACAGCTGAGCTAAATACAAAAAGGGATATATAGTGGCCAAGCTTTTACACCTGTTGAGGATCTGGCCCTAAAGTGGTTTTAATAATGTTGATACTTTATATTGATGACCCTTACCAACCACTCCTGGAAGAAATCAAGTATTCCATTTGGTAAAAATTTGGGGAGGAAAGTGAAAGAATTCCTTGTGTATCCTGACTGGCCTAAAGAACCTTTTGCTACTGTAATTTACCTGCTGATAAAATTGGATTCTAAATAACCTACTTTGGAGTTTATAAGGCTTTGTTTTCATTTTAATATGCCTGTATGAAACTGAGATTAAAGATATCCATTTGGAATACCGTCAAAGGCCTTTCTTATTTTATAACACAAGAACAATTGCATGTGAATTTCAAAGAAACACAGATCCCTGTATTTCAAACAGTTTCATTTCCTTTGAAAGGAAACCGCTATTTATAGGGAGAAAAAAAAAACATACTGAAAGTATCAAACTGACAATAGGGACTGTATATAAAATTAGAGCATAGACTCAATCCATGTCGAGATAAGAATTGCCTTCCCTTCTTAACACCAAGCTCTCAGAGGTTCCCAGGGAAGAGCATTGAAAATTAAAAAGGTGTGATTATGCTGCGTTTATAGTTTTGGCAATTCTTTTAGAATAAAGAAAAAAGGTGACTTTGTTCAATCATCCATTGCAGGTACGTAGTTAACCTTCAAGGCCAATGATTTTAGTATGGCCACCTACGCAATTCAAGCACAAAAAAAAAAAATTTATTATTTTTAGTCCTATCGCCCAAACAAAATTTGCATTTGCAGTTCCTGGGCATCCAGACCGTCCCAGCACTGTTGGTTTGGGTTTTTGCATTTTCTGTGTAAATATTTGTGTGTGTCTGAATGTGCAAGCATAGGCAATGCTGAAATCTGAAGGCCATCAGCAATTCACACACACTGTATAGGGCGGGTAACCACAAATGCATTATGCCCCGCTAATGACCCGAAGCCTGATCTACACAAATCATTTTCCAGAGAACAAAGTGCAATGTTGTTTCCATCTGGTGCGGTCCTGGGCCTCTCTACAGAACCTACTGGACCAGATTTATAGCAGCAATGTTTAGATTTTGACTGGGGATTGCAATAGGTTTCCCAAACTCCAAGTTAGATTTAAACTTTGATTCCATAGATGAAAATTTAGTTTTATTTGGTATGCCCTTACTTTTTACATCTACTGCTACAGACTTTTTGTCTACATATCTTATAATGGTAATTTGCATTTTGAGAGTGCTCTTCATGCAAGGATCTCAAACATGCTTTACAAGCGTTTATTAAACCTCACAAAACCTCTGGGAGGTAGGTAAGAATTAATATATACATTGTAATAGATGGCGAAACTGAGATACAAAGGAATTCCCAAGATCACACAGCTAGTCAATGGCAGAGCTGGGAGTGGATCCCAATAACCCTGACTCCCAGTTCTTTTAAACAACACTGCTTCTCAAAGGGAGGTTTCTCTTTTACAAGCTTACTGCTGAAGAGGGTTTATACCTCTGGTTTTGAAAGTTTCTTTACAGCTCTGCCACATTTCAGAGGTTTAATCATTTGGCCTACAGACTAACTCCAATAGGAAATCTAGCCTACAGACCCTCAAGGAAAGCAATTAGCCTGTGATATGTTGCTGTTTGGGGGAAACAGTCCTTTCCAGAGAAATACAGGATTTGCCATCCATTGTGCATGATGCTCCAAGAAAAGCTGTGAAAATTCGTAATTGCATCAAGCCAATTGTGCAATGCTGTACAAGTTAGGACAGCGCATCATAAAAAAACAGTTTATACCAGTTTATCACCACTTGGGGCCTCTGAGAAAATGAGGACAGACATGGAGCCATACCTCCTTCTCCCTTCTGATCCTGGGGCACAAATTCCAGTAGCTATGGGGTTGCTCTAATTTATGTTGGCTAGAATGGGTCCCTAGGTACTTTTGTGCCCGTGAAAAATCAGAGTGCACTGCATGTTCACTTCAGGCCCTGATTATGCCAGCTTTATTTCACCAGGCAATTCCCCTACAACACGGAAAAGTTGCTTGATGTTACGTAAAGAAATAACACAGATTGCTACAGACTGTTGCAATACTAAATATGGAATTATATAATAACCTATATAATAATCTACAAATCAATGAGTGTTGCAAGTTTTTAGTACCTCTGAAAATGAGCTCTGCCTTAATCTTTAGGCCTGAAAGACTTGCTTGATGCACTGTTGCCAACTCTTGCTATTTTATGGCAAGTCTTACGGGGTATCTGCTGTTTTTCTTAAAGCCAAACCCGTAGCGCCAGGATTCATTCTCTCTCTATCATACCCTTCCCTTACTCCTCCTCTTAACCTCTCACTCTCTTCTGGCTTGTTATCCTCACATTACAAGCATGCTTAAATCTCTGCCACCTTAAAAAACCCCCGTCCTCAACACCATTTTCTTCTCAAACTACCACCCCTTTTCCCTTTCATCTCTAAAATCTCTGAACCTGCTGTTTGGAGTGCCTCTCCTCCGATTCTATCCTAGAGCCTCTCTAATTCGGCCTCCACCACTTTCACTCCTCTAAACTCGCTCTCACCCAAGTCTCTAATGACTTCTTCCTAACCAAAGCTCAAAATCAGTACTCTATCCTCAGCCTCATTGACTTGTCAGCTGCCTTTGACTACATTGACCATGCTGCTCTTCTTGAAATTTTGTCCTCCTTTGACTTCTTTGACTCTATCTTTGCCTGGTTCTCCTCCTAAGTCTAACCACTTCTTCAGCTTGTCCTTGATCTGTCTCATCCCTTTTTCAACTTTCTGAGGGAGTTTCCAGAGGGCTTTGGTCCTCTGGCTCCTTTTCTTCTTCTACACCTTATGTCTAGATAATCTTATCTACAAACACAAATTCAACCACCACTTCTATGCTGATGACTCACAGATCTACTTCTCCACTCTAGACCTTCTCTCCAAACTAAAATCTTGGCCTGTCTCTCTGATATCTTTTAATGGATGCCTAGCATCAGATCAAGCTCAATATGTCTTAAGCAGAGTTCTTAATCTCCTACGCTTACCTCTCCTGTCCTCCACGCAACCTCTCCCTGATACTTCCTTTTTTGATTACAGTAGGTAACACCACCATCCTGCCTGTCACTCAGGGTATCATCTTCAACTCAGAAGTCCTCACAGCCAGCTATGTCTATGTCTATGTATTGAAGATCCTTTGTGCGTAGCACCTCTGAGGTATGGCCTTTCCTATGCATCTTCACAGTTACGAGTCTTGTTCAAGCTTTCATCATCTTACATCTCAGTTACTCTAAAATCCTTTTCTCTGACCTTGACAAATGCAATCTTGTTTAACTATATCCATTCAGAATGTTACTGCAAAGATCATTTTCCTGGCTCATTGCTTTGATCATGTCACCCCTCTCATTGCATCACTCTACTACCCTCTACCACTGCCGATCATGCTTACCAAATTTGTCTCATTATTTCCTTGTACTCCTCTGTCTGTGTGTCTGTCTCCATTTGTCTTCTCTTGGTTTATACTTATACTAAGCTATCTGGGGAAGGGATCAACTTTTTGTTTTCTGTTTGCACAGCACTTTGCATGATGGGGTCCTGGTCCATTACTAGGGCTCCTAAGCGCTACACAGTTATACAGATAATAACGTCTTAATTTTTAAAGCTAGGGGTCCACAATATGACGTATTCCAATACCTTTTTTACCTCACTTCTGCTTTTTCCTTTAAAATTATTTAATTACATACAAAATAGTTCTTGCATTAAGATTGTGACATAAAACTACAAAAGCCAAGGAAAGTTTCCTCAGAGTATACCAACACCATTAATTTAAAAAGCACAATGGTTTGACTTATTGCAGTAGTGTCTGGCTTAACTTTTAAATTTCCTGGCTTTTGTGGATTTGGGTCAAAATGTTAAGTTAATTAAAACATGGTTTTTTATAATTTAACGTCAATATTTACAACGTTTGCTTATATACATACATTTAAATGAACACACATGTAAAGGATTCAGCTATCAGATGTCCAAAAAGGGTTTTGAATGCAGTTTACAAAAAAAGGAAGACATGTGAATCATAAATGGATGGATTACTATTTGGAGGGAAGGATTTTTTGAAACATGATTAAGAGGCGGGGGGGGAGAATAAGCTAATCATCTTTTTGATGAAAGAGCTGAATCTGAGCTATGTGGCACATAAATGTTCAGTGTTCTGGACTTTTTAAACTGGAGGAGATTATGAAGAATGAGTACATACTACTTGGACTTGGCCATCTTCTCCTATTTGGTGGATTTGAACCTGCTGAGCATTAGCCAGTGCATAATGTAGGGCCTGTGGCTGGTTCGGCTGGATTTCATTAGATGTTGACACTGTGCTCTGAGTACCCTCTGGAAAGAAAAAGAAAAGACAAAATCCAACCTTATTTCATTTGCACATCTCCATGCCAGTTGCCATGCAATAATGGATAGGTAGGAAAATAACAAACAAACAGAGAGTAAGCAGATGCAGAATGTTTATGTTACCCTTATGCTTTGCCTGCAGTTTCATTACTAGCCTACAGGTCAGGTTACAAATTGAGGTACAATAAAAAGGCTTTTGTTATAGCTTACTCTCTGAAACATGACAAATTTACACATGTATTTTTGCTATAAATGCAAGTTATGCTACAACAAGAAACTCAGAAGGCAGTGTCATGAAGGTGAACGGACCATCGAAGTAGCAAAATTTTTAATTTTTCTCAGCTTCTCTAATCCTCATTCCACCTGTTCAGCATCTGCCAGCACACCATCTTCCTTCAAGGTTTGAAAGCAACTTTCTGACAGCAGGATTGTCTGGCTATGTAGACTCCCTCCTCAGGCCCTATGCTACCAGCAATCCCAGCTATCTTCGAGACACCACTGACTTCCTGAGGAAACTACAGTCCATCAGTGATCTTCCTGAAAACACCATCCTGGCCACTATGGATGTAGAAACCCTCTACACCAACATTCCACACAAAGATGGACTACAAGCCATCAGGAACAGTATCCCCGATAATGTCACGGCAAACCTGGTGGTTGAACTTTGTGACTTTGTTCTCACCCATAACTATTTCACATTTGGGGACAATGTATACCTTCAAATCAGCAGCACTGCTATGGGTACCCGCATGGCCCCACAGTATGCCAACATTTTTATGGCTGACTTAGAACAACGCTTCCTCAGCTCTCGTCCCCTAATGCCCCTACTCTACTTGCTCTACATTGATGACACCTTCATCATCTTGACCCATGGAAAAGAAGCCCTTGAGGAATTCCACCATGATTTTAACAATTTCCATCCCACCATCAACCTCAGTCTGGACCAGTCCACACAAAGAGACCCACTTCCTGGACACTACAGTGCTAATAAGCAATGGTCACATAAACACCACCCTATACCGGAAACCTACTGACCACTATGCCTACCTACATGCCTCCAGCTCTCATCCAGACCACACCACACGATCCATTGTCTATAGCCAAGCTCTACAATACAACCGCATTTGCTCCAACCCCTCAGACAGAGACAAACACCTACAAGATCTCTATCAAGCGTTCTTACAACTACAGTACCCTCCTGCAGAAGTAAAGAAACAGATTGACAGAGCCAGAAGAGTACCCAGAAGTGACCTACTACAGGACTGGCCCAACAAAGAAAATAACAGAACGCCACTAGCCGTCACCTTCAGCCCCCAACTAAAACCTCTCCAACGCATTATCAAGGATCTACAACCTATCCTGAAGGACGACCCATCACTCTCACAGATTGTGGGAGACAGGACAGTCCTTGCCTACAGACAGCCCCCCCAACCTGAAGCAAATACTCATCAGCAACTACATACCACACAACAGAACCACTAACCCAGGAACCTATCCTTGCAACAAAGCCCGTTGCCAACTGTGTCCACATATCTATTCAGGGGACACCATCATAGGGCCTAAACACATCAGCCACACGATCAGAGGCTCGTTCACCTGCACATCTACCAATGTGATATATGCCATCATGTGCCAGCAATGTCCCTCTGCCATGTATATTGGCCAAACTGGTGAGTCTCTTCGTAAAAGAATAAATGGACACAAATCAGACGTCAAGAATTAGAACATTCAAAAACCAGTCGGAGAACACTTCAATCTCTTTGGTCACTCGATTACAGACCTAAAAGTTGCAATTCTTCAACAAAAAAACTTCAAAAACAGACTCCAAGGAGAGACTGCTGAATTGGAATTAATTTGAAAACTGGATACAATTAACTTAGGCTGGAATAGAGACTGGGAGTGGCTGGGTAATTACACAAAGTAAAATATTTCCCGTTGTTTATTCCCCTCCCACCCACCCCACACACCCCCTCCCCCCCCGTTCCTCAGACTGCTGGAAATGGCCCACCTTGATTATCACTACAAAAGGTTCCTCTCCCCACCCCCCTGCCGCCGATGGTAATAGCTCATGGTAATAGCTCACCTTAAGTGATCACTCTCGTTACAGTGTGTACAGTAACACCCATTGTTTCATGTTCTCTGTGTATATAAATCTCCCCACTGTATTTTCCACTGAATGCATCCGATGAAGTGAGCTGTAGCTCACGAAAGCTTATGCTCAAATAAATTTGTTAGTCTCTAAGGTGCCACAAGTCCTCCTTTTCTTTTTTCTGTAATACATATACCAAATCATGCTGTTCCTTTGTATTGCCTGGCTGGAGCTATTGAAGATTACATCATATCTGCAATGCATTCAGAATTGCAACATGAAGGACTAAACTGTTCTGTTCTTGTAAGCAGGCAAAGTGTTGCCAACTGCTGTGATTTTATTGCAAGTCTTGTGTATTTTTCTTAACACTCCAATTGCTAGAGTCAGGATTTCACGAAAATCTCAACTTCCATTAAAAAAATAAGTAAATTTCTAGACCTCATGGTTGCAGAGAAAAGTGTATCCTAAAATTTAAAAACTAGAAGATAAATAAAAAAGAATTGCAAGTGTATTTTTTTTAATTCCATGATTTTTAACTAATCACAATTTTTTTGAAGCCTGATTCAATTTTCTAATATTTGGGGTTAGCAATACTGAGATACTGATAAGGTCAAGAATCCTTCTCTGAAAGAAGAGAATGGAGCAGAGTGGCAGAGAATAGGGACAAGGTTTTTATGTGCACCCACAAACTGAGACACAGCTAGTTAAAGCTCAGTTACACATGGTTCTTGCAGCACACATGGTATGTCAGATCATCTACTATTTGGATGAAACTTAAAATACCCAACACAACAGGGATGATTAAAATTCAGCACCAGTCCTGAATTTCCTTCCTTTTATGTGAGAATATTATTTGGAGGGCACTTTTTGAAGTTTAACTGAGACCATAATGTCTCATGTATATAGACAGTATTGTTAACCATAAGGGATTTATCTAGTCATGTCAACATGGATTTAGAAACTTAAATGCATTTTATTTCCTTGATAGATTGTAACCACTTTCTCTATGCTATTTTGGTAAATCATATAAATTTACATTCAGGAAATTCTTAGAAATGTGGATTTCACTCCCCATTCTCCTCCCACTCCCAATAATGACTTCTTCACTATATGGTAACATAATGGGGTGCGCCTTGCCACACACAGTAGCATTCCATAGAGAGACACTGCGAATCTATATTAGCACAGATAACCATAATGAAAATATTAAAGTTATGAAATGTTACTGCACTTCTACAGTGGACAGCTTTCTTATATTAATAACTTACCATTTTATGTATTGTTTAAATAAAGACTAGATGAGCCTAGTCCTCAAAGAAGATGACTAAATGATCTACATATTTTCATTTTAAAGGACTCAGTTGGGGGAGGGGGGCTCAGTTATTGAAACACAAAACAAAGGAACCCTATTCCACAATGGAAAACTTCCACTTTAATCTTTTTGAAGGTTTATTCTAGAAACACTAAATGATCTTTAATACAATAGTGCTCACTGTCCAGCTATTTAGGAAGGACAGGAGACACTGGATGTAGTTTAATTAGGCTGCAACTTTATTATTAATTATCTGGGAGCACCCCACAAATAAAAGCGTATAGTTCAGGTAAATTCCATGATCATCTCAACAAACAACAGGGATGCTTCCATCAACCCTCCCCCTTTCCCATCCTAGTCCCCAGCCCACCTGCTGCGGGGACCTTACCCTCCCCCAATCCTCGAATGAGTGTTAAGGTGGGCTATAAAGAAGGGTGGGGGAGGGTTAGTCATAGGAGCCCTGAACCATCCTGTTTCTGCTCCTTTAACAAATACCTCCTTTAAATCCTTTACCGCTGCATTTATCAGATCACGGTATCCCTTCCCTGAGGAGCACCTGCACTGGACATCCGTCCCAAATCAACATAATGAGTTGCGATATCATAGCCTAATTCCTGTGCCACATTCACCCAAACTAACCCCCGTCCCTGAACCAGCTGTGGGGAAGGAAACAGCCCCCCCTCACACACACATACACACACACTTTCCTTAGACCAGTCTGGAGGTGAGGGGAAAATTCCTTCCCAGCTTCCCCAAGAAAGGAGCGACTAGTGCAATGCTGAGAATGGATCCTGACCATACCTGATATTTCACCACTTCCAACGGTGGGAGGGTGGGTGCTGCTTCACCTGATCCAGGTAAAAGAGGGCTTTTCCTGCCCAGCATTTACTTATATAACTTCCTCTTTCTTCTGGTCCCCTGGGTCAGCGTCCCCACTCTGAGCTGCAGCTGCGGCAAAATCACTCTGTCTCTCTCTACTCCTTAACTGCCAGAGGTGAGTAAAGACATTTTAAAGTGGGTGTAAAATTACATTTACATCCACTTCAAGAGGATTCCTTACATTGCCAGAGTGTTGTAAACAGTTGTCATCCCCGTCCTGCTTAATGTGAGGTGCATTCACTGACCCCCTACTTTTACTAGAGCCTGCTTTATCCTAATGTGCTAATGTTTTAGCTGCAATGCACTGAAAAAATAGTTTATTTAATTAGTATCTGTTCTCACACTCATTGTTTTATTAACAGACTAGTGCAAGACAACAAATTTGTGCTTTTAAACCTAAGTCTGGAAACTGAAAACCAACTCAATATGGCTAAGCTAGAATCTAGTTATCTGGTGGAAAGTGTACTTGTTTTTGTACTCCAAATAAGCAGCTTTAAATTACTTTTACATTTAATTACATAAAAGACAGTCAAGAGAAAGTATAAATAAAGCAGCCAAGTAAAGCTACCAAAAAGAGAAAAATAAATAATGTATAACTGTTGCATATTCTGCTCTAATTGTGGTTCTATTCCTGCTATTGATGGAGGCTGGGTCAGTGTGCCATATGGCTGACTATTATCCTAATTTACAGAAAGTCAGTGCTTAAAT